TTACTCAACCAGGTTTATACGCAGCTACGTCACGCCTACTGTGAAAACTTAACAAGACCCTCCTGTCAACGAGTCTTGAGACTAAAGTGATGCTTTCCTCGGTAAATAAACGTACAAAATATAACGTCATTTTTCCCAATCTCATTTTTACAGTTTTGCCCACAAAATAGCCTATCCACATGTATTGCTTTTTGTGTTAAAGTGGGGTCCCATAGGTTACATGGAGTGTTCTTGCCAATTACACCTGATAATCCAGCAACATTTGTTTAACAATACTGACTCTGCTGATGAGACCCAGGAGGTTTAATCTGGTCCAGAGTTTGCTTGCTTAAATAAACGCTGCTGATTGATATTGATCTGCAAAGCTGCTGTCATGGCTAATGGATCTTTTTTTTAATTAATATGTGGGGATGTGGAGACAGATCAGCTTCAGAATGTCCTCAACTTTCAAAGTTTTATATGAGAAAATTCTATCTGGACTCCCTCCAGCTCATAGCACAGAAAACGGATCTTGTCAATGACTTATTAACTCCTGTGCCTTTGGCCAAAAAGTACGTTCTTATTTTTTTTGCTAGACTCAAGGGCAGCCTCTGACAGAGCTGATAATTCAATTTTGTTCGACCGCCCCTCAGGCACACTGGGAGTTTCAAGCACTGCTTTGAGACGAATTACCTCACATCCCTCAAACAGGTGGCATTGTTGTCTCAGTGGGGGTTGGGGGGGGGGAGGTCTACTTCTTTACTATCAAGAGTAGTATGCGGTGTCCCTTGGGGATCCATTTTGTTCCCTCAACTGTTCTCTATGATTATTACGCTATCATTGAACAACGTCAGTCAGCAGTTTGGGGTGAGCTTTCATTTCTATGCCAATGACACAATTTTATCTTTCAGTCAAGTACGATCAGGTCTCTAACTTGACAGTGCTGTCAGCTTGTCTCCCAGATATTAAATATTGGATGCCACGAAACTTTCCCAGTCTAAACTGAGGCAATTATATTGGACTCCCGACACCAACCCTACAAGGTTAACTTCCCCACATTCGTCATTGAGGGCTTGCTTTATTGCTCTTCCCAACTTGCTACCAAAGTCTTTCTTTTCCCATCTCTGAAATATTGCCAAACTCAAACCCTGTCTCTCCTCAGCCGGTGCAATGAAGTTAAATCCACTGCTTCAATTCTTCTCGACTTGATCACTGCAATGCACTCATTACAGCAATATCCGCGACGACATTGTTAAGTTGTACAGCATGCTGCTTGCCCCTGAGTGTTCACACATTCTCAAAAAAAATCTGTCCACATTACACATAGGCTCCCAGTTCATTCTGGGCCCGATTTCAAGGTTCTGCTTTTTTTAAGTAACAAGGCACTCAACGGTCTTGCTCCTTTTTACTTGACTGAACTCCACTCTGTTTGTATCCCAAGTCGTATACAGTACTCCATTCACAAGATGCTTGAGTAGTAACGCTCCCCCGGGTCACAACGCCTGCTGATGCTTCTAACCAGTGGAACTCCTTAAATGTAACACCCTTTGTGAGATCCGCCAACTCAATGTAAGTTGTTTTTTTTTTAATTACACCTGAAGACACATCTGTGCAATAAGGATTTGACAAAGAAAAAATATGTATATCAGCAATCAGATGACCTTTTATTTGTTGATGTCATGGGATGGCCTTCACCCGCTGATGATATAATAATTGCCTTTGTTGTGGTGGCTGTTGTTGAAATGGGGAATTTTAAATGAAGTCCGTAGTGAGACAAGAGGAGGAGGTTTTTTTTCTCATATATTTGAGCGCACACAGCAGCTTGTGAGGGAATGTGGTGTCTTCTTTATCATTGCCCATTATGCACCAACTTTGACGTTCGCACACTGCCCAGCTTTTGAGTCAACCTGCTCTCGAGTCATCATCATCGACGTCAGCCAAATATGTGCAGCATGCTGAACTGCTTTCGCACCGTATGTAGCCAACTGTGCTAATCGGAGGTGCGTGGCAAGGACGACAAGCGAAACGTGATCTATCCAGTGCTGGATGAAGGTCTTCCCAACTCACACATTGACCGCAACGAACGTGGGATCTTGGGCTGGACACGTGGCTAGAAGGAGTGGCGCTCCGTGGTCGAGACCAACGGCGGATCGGCGGCCGGAGCGAGGAGCGCTCCTGAGCGAGCACGCCCGCCGCGGAGACGAAGCGATGGAATCATCCCGTGTGCGGCGCATAGGTGGATTGTTGCCCTTGAGTGGTAAAAATACGAACGTTGGTTTTATTCCCGCCGATCAATTAAGGGGGTGCTGCATTTTTTGGGCATTTTTGTCTTAATTTCCTGATGTCTTAATCCAACACAATTGAATCAGTGCTGTCCAATGTTTCGAAACCTCCCTTGAGTCGGGGTGATATTTCATTTAAAAAAAATCAAACCTTTAAGCCTTTAAAGGCGGCCCGGCGTGGTGGTTGACCACCCACTCCGTCGTGTGCTGTGCCGGTCTTCCATGGGTGCTCGCTAAAGGCACTTGCCCCAACAGTCTGTCGAGGCTATACGGGGGGGGATCGTTATCTTTGTCTTTGTAATGCTGCATACCTCGCACGAGCTGTCCTGCTGCTCTCGACTCGGTTGGTATTCTTCGTGTATTTTACCGTGGGCTGTCCACACAATTTATGTCATGGCTATCTTGGGTCATGCCCTTCCCTTTCCACTGCTAAACACCCGACTGCCCACACATTTCAAGTTACACTACTCGACCGTTTATAACAGACGCCGTCAGGAAGATGACACTCAATCGATATCCGCACTGATGCAACACGCCCCAATGCTGCCTCTGTCCATTCAAAACAGATTCTTCAACAATTTACCGTGTGTGTTACCACGAACCTCACAGTTATGTTGACCGTATTGTGTTTGTTGAATTTAATTTAATTTCATGTGGTCACTGCTCAAGATTTGAAGCTTTCATTCTTTTGATGTAAACAGCATCTGGAGATTTCGTTACATTTATACACGATATCGAGTACTTTTGTTTTGATCTTGATTTGAAGCTTTCGTGACTGCAGGAATCCATACTCTTTGGTTCTTTCGGTAAAGTCACGTAGGTAGAAAATAAAATCATTTTATGATTTTTTTTAACCTACGTGACTTTACCGAAAGAACCAAAGATTGTACTTTTGGTTTGCTCTTATTTATCTCAAGTCCAAAACTTGCAGCCTCCTTCGTCAAGTTCTGCAATCGTTTCTCGTAATGAATTTTCACAGCAAAATCCGAAATGACTGAAATTCTTTTCCCCATGAATTTACGTTGTGCCATCATTTCTGAAAGTTAATTTTTCTCAGAAGATGTCGAATAACGTCGCTGTAAATATCCTCGGTGAGAACGTGTCTCCTTTGCCTGACTCCTCTTGTGATTTGTGCTTTCCTCTTGTGATTTGTGCAATTTCTCTGCGCAATCTCAACGCAGCAGTTCCTTCGAAGTGGCGTTGGCAATGTCAACATGACATCTTATCAACACCTCAGTTTCGTGAGCGCTGGATGACCACTTGCGTTTCCGCTTAATCGAATTCCTTTTCATAATCAACTCAAGGCCAGGCAATAGTGGCGTCGATATTCATATGCCATTTTCAGGAGTTGATTGAGAGTGTGCATGTGTTTTGATTTAGAGCTTTCGTGACTGCATGGATTCATATTCTTGGTTCTTTCGGTAAAGTCATGTAGAAGGGAAATAATAAAATAACATGTAATATATTTTATTAGGTTTTATTTTTATTATTTCCCTTCTACGTAACTTTACCGAAAGAACCAAGAAGAAAAAAGTGTGTATGTGGTCTACGGTGGAATTGCCTTTCCTCAATCGTTGGTTCGCCTCTAAAACTTCTAGAGTTTAGTGCCCGAAGATCTTCAAATCGAAAAGGGAGACACGTCGTTTTTGTCTCCCTTTTTGAAAAAGAAGAATCATTGCAGCACTCATTCCATGATTGAGGTACGGTATTACATTTCCGTTTAAACGTTTAGTAGATGTAGTTTCGCGCATTCATTTTACAGCATTTGAGTAAATCATAATTAAACGATTCTTTCGCGGATGGTTCATTGTAGGTTCTGCAAGCATAAGAATCACTTTGATTCGATTAACAATTGCGTTCCTACCACAAGCGCAAATGTTAACCGAAATGGTATAGTGTACAAGAACCTTCGTTGAATATGAATGCAATCCTAAAAACAAACGCTTTAAAGCGGACTGCGTGGCTCAAGAGGTCAGAGCACTGAACTGGCACTGCTAAGATCTTGGATTTGAATCCAAGGAGCAGCTTGTCATTAAAGCGGCCTGTCAAGTTGAGTGAGTTGATGGTCTCAGCCTGGTCATCAAAGACGGCAGCGAGGAAACCCACCATATTAAATCTGTTCCCCTGCATTTGGTTAGAGTCCAGCTCTGAGAATTAGAAAAAAATATCGGTTTGACTACCATACAACAAACATTTCGTTGCAGCAGAGCATGTGATAATATGCACCCCGAGTGTGGATCAGAGGTCACTTGAAGGGACACATCAGAAGTGGTTCTGTGATGTCCGCTTCTGCTAGCCACTCTCAAACATCGGCGGGTGCACTGCTGGGTGAGAGCTTCAAATGGATTCTCCGCCTCGTGACGTGACAGCGATAAATACAATTGGGGGAAGAAAAAAAAACCACCACTTGCGTGTAACAGAACATTTTCCACAATTTGCTACACGGTTGCCCAGTCATTGAACCTGTGAGACTTTCCCGAATGGGCCTCACTAGTGTGCCGAAGCCGATTTGATGAGCAACGCCTGTGCCTGCCTTCCACAGCAATCTTTAAGTCGTTGTTCGGCAAATGTTGTTTGGCAAGGGACCGTAGGTCCGCCTGCAATTACTAAAGCTTGCCTCCTCCGCCCGCTAGCGATGATTCTGACGGTGTATTCCTACCGACGTACAATTTAACACCGTTGCCCGGATTTTACGTGCGGGTCCCTCATCGTTTGTCTCTAAATTCATCATTTTGCCAGCAGGAACGGCTATTTTGGAGTCTGCTTGGGGCAAGAAGGACAGGAGCTGCAGACATCCTGGTGGTAGGTCCACTGATTAATCAAATTTCTGCAGTGAAACAAATATTTCTGCCTTTGCTGGAGGATAATTTATTCTTTCTCCTGACGCCTTCTCGGTCAGTGCCTTTTTTTTTCTCCAAACATCCAGGGGCTGTGAATCTCCTTTCAATGCACGTCGTTGGGGGACGGGGGAGGGCACGGGAAGGGCTGACAGAGAGCCTGCTTAAAGGCCAAACCATCCCTATACAGCAGCCTCGCCATAAACATGTTTAATTTAAAACTGTACACATTGCTCATGAAAAAATAAAATCCACAGAGCAGTTTTGGTCATTCAGACTAACATTGAATATTGCAACTGTAAAATATTAAATGAAACAAATCTTACATATATATAAAATGGCAGCTGTTCCAAATGGCTTTGGACATTTCTCTTGCTACAATAAGTCTCTGTGATAAATTGCTTCAGTTTAGCTGTTGGGGATTTTGGCATGCACGCTGAATCGTAACAGTTTTTAACTTGAACTAGTGTGGCTTAGGGTAACTTGCAGTGACACACATTTCCTTACAACACTTTTGTAAGTATTTTCTAAACTGAAAACCCATTTCTTTAGAAGTGCTTTTTGTGTTTAGTTTGTTATCCTTCCCCAGCACTTCCGATTAGCAAAAAAGTTTCAACATACATACATATACACATTTCTGTAGTAGTGTTATTTATTTATTATTGTCATTATTCGTGATAGGAGTGGCAAGCTGATAAAGCGAACAAAACTGCATGTACAAGACACAACAAACTCGAGACAATACAAACCAGACAGTATAAACGAGAACAAAAAATATTGAATCGTGAATCAATCACAAGGCTGTATGAGGACAATCCATCAAGCCCTGGTGGAGTGACTAATTGCAGGCATCCCACTCGGTGAGTATTCACATTGTAAGCGATTGTGGAGGAAATGTTGCCCGTTAGGCATGAGGTTGGTATGATGGGGAGACTGTGATGTGGCCAGCAACCCAGAAGGGGTTAATGTGGATCATGATGTAGCTGGAAGATTATTGAATAGTTTGATTCTACATTAAATGGGAAATATAAAATTGCAATATTTTTTTTAAAGTACACGTGGACGTATTGGCGATACACTGGTGCACCTTAACACACCGCGCCTCATAAAACAGTCTAAAATCAAAATTTTAATCAGCAAAAATGTGTATCAGTCTTTAATAGACCCCGTCGCAAATTTTACGTCATTCGAAGGTTATTTAGTTTACTGAGACTTGCTAAAAAAAAAAGGTCAATATTGACCGTTGATTTGGTTCCGGGGCACGCGATATTTTGGGTCGACCAGGAGGGCGAGCGCCTGGATCAACAGCAGCTGCTGCTGCTGCTTTTTTCTGTGCCTTACGAGCCTGAGATTGGCCTGGAGCATCCTCGTCCTCTTGAACTGCGAATGGATAGTACGGAAAGTAGAGCGTTGGGGTCATGTTATTCTTCTTCCAAATGCTTTAGGGTTAGGAATCGTCATCAGGCTGGGTGCTGCTTTACGGCAAGAGACTGTGAAGCTTCGTGTTCAGCTGCTGACGACATTCGCCTTCCGATTGCTTCGACATCACGAGAACTGATTTTTACGCACCCCGCAAGATTTTCTGACCGGGGTTGCGAATCGCGGGAAAATAATTGGCAGAAGTGCGATTTTTTTCTATATACACATATACCGCGCACCGGTGTAAAAAATGTGCTAGTGATTTAAATGTACATACGTCACAAATATAGGTCGAGAGATTCCATTCGAAATATCATATTTGGTGATAATAACAGCCACTGCCACGACAACTGCTGCCATCATCACCATCACCACCCTCATCAGCCCCACCACCACTCCCACCACGACCACCGCCCTCACCACTACTCCCACCGACATCACCACCACCCTCACCACAACTACCACCTTTCCATCACCCTGACCACTACTACCACCACCACACCCACCACCATCACCACCTTCGACACTTCAATGTTACCACCACCGCCAGTGTCACCACGACCCCCACCGTTTTGTTTCAATTGTTTCTCAATATTTTTGTTATCTCGTTGGTGCAGTTTTGATCGCTTCATTAGCCTCAACGTAACGGCATATCATTTGCATGTGATTTGCATCGATTGTGCGTAATTACATTTTTACGCACGTGATTTTATGCACTTGCGAGCATAATTGATTTTAATCTAAGCTGCAATGCATCATTGTGCGTCTAATGGATACACTTGCAATGATGAGCCACACGGCCAACAGCTGGGTGGTAATGTGGGCTGTGCAGCAATGAGCGTTTAAGAATGGATGGCAACACCTGGATTCGGTGTCGACTTCAGCTACAGATCATGCTAAATGCACACAGCGTTGAATGCGTTCGCTCGAGATATCTACAAAACTAAGTCTTGATCAAAGCGAATTTAACGGTTCCTTTTCATTTTCGGGCGATGATCATATATATTGGTGATGATGGTGGTGGTGGTGGTCGCGGTGGTGGTGTGAGTGGCTTTGGTGGTGGTGGCGATGATGATGATGATAGGAAATGTTTCGGTGGTAGCAGTGGCGGTGGTGGTAGTGGTGACTGCAGGCTCCATGCATGCGCAGTCAGTCGGACATCAATCAGAGTCCTGCGAGTCTTGGCATCGACTTTCACTGTCACAATTGGTGTGCAGTGTCTCATAGTGGCCTGCATGACTGATTTAATTCAGAGGGGCAGTCCTGGAGAGACCCAAAAAAAGAGCTCTTAAAAAACACAATATCGTGCCCTTTATTTAGAATGCTTCTTCGTCTCCCCATCCAAATCAAGCTGCCCACCAAGCCAGCCCAGCCAGCCCGGCATCGGCAGCCTCTCTCAGGAACATTCTCTCAAGTGTTCTGACCTTGCCCTGTGACCTTTTGACCTAAAATGCAATTCCAGGCATCTGATTGTGGTCACGGGTCACCTTTGAACATTGGTGTCGAGATTGGTCAAAACGGCACAAAGTAATAATCCGGCTGCTGACACAAGCTGAATATAAGTGATTGATTGGTCTCGTTTTATTCTTCGATTTTTTTTTTTATTGTGGTCATCGCCTTTACAGAGCAGTGTGGGAAAAATATTAAAAATCCAGATTCTCTGGATTATGTTTTTCATAGCTGTGGCTCTAAGTTGTATTTTTAGCCCTTGATTGCAATTACTCAATATATTTCCACTCCTAGGATCATCTCAATTATTTGTTGTTTTTCTCACACGCGCTTTATTACATGTATTTATGAGCAGGCACATAGCATGCATATTCCGTCTTACACTTGCCTAAATGCATTATCTACATTGCATTGTGTCAGTAAGATTCTCGTTGCAAACTCTGTTCAATCAATTATGGAGTGTTTTGTTTATTATAGCAAGATTTTACCAGCATACTGTTATTGTGTGATGATGCATTCAGAACAATATTAAGCAACACATTTTAATACTTACAATAATTATATTGGAGAGTTATGTTTTTTGTTGTCCTACACACACGTCTGCAGTAGTTAAGGCATTGATTGTAGTTGTCAGTCCGTAAGACACGTTAACATCCATTCATTTACTGAGGGAAGTTTCAAACGAATCTCAGAAGTCATGTTACAGAGGGCCCTGTTTGTAATGTTTCAAAAGATCGTGTTGACTAACGCCGCCACCACCTCCCACCATCACTTTTTAAGTCCGCTGGAGACGACAGTTGTTGTAAAGTGGATACTCGACCTTTAAGGGCCACTCGTACGGTCTCACCACCACCACCACCACCGTCTGCCTTCAGGTCTTCTCTCCTCAGTATGCTTGCCCCTCCTTCTGGGTGTCACTTCATTGCCCGTCTCGGTAATCTGCCCTCTCTCCCTTTCACCCTTACACACGTGCGCCACCCATCGCAACCTCCCCGTCACTGATCACATCTACAACACTCTACCTTACGATATTCTATGATAAACCGACAAAAGCTATGCATATATTATCAGTTTGTTGGCATGTCCACCACAAGTACCGTGTGTGGTTAATGCAGTAACGGGATTGTATCGATTTGGCGTTTGAACATAACACAACTGTTTAATATGCCACAAAGGGTAAAACCTATTATTATTATTTTTCATACTTTGATACTGGCAAAAAAAGATCACCATGATAATGTTGCTGGTGTTGGCGATATATCTCAATGCTGAAAAACATACCTGCAAGTTACTTATTTGGGGATTACACAGCAGCAGCATCGCCCCCCCCCCCCCCCCCCCCTACTGTGAAAACTTGGCAGGAGCCTGCAGAAAAATAGTTTTGAGACTCGGTGACACAATCCTGGGGGGAAAAAACGAGCGTAATAATAATGATATCATAAATAATAACAGCCACCTCATAGCCCTGGGGATTGGTGTGTCACAGACACAAGGTGATGTTTACATAATTCACAACCCTTGCCTCCAGAGAGCTGGATTTAAGGAATACATCACAGAATAATATGCAGATGCCCCAGATAATTGTGATTAATTCTTCTTGTAAGCATTGAGCTGCCATCTCTTGAGATACATAAAGCCATGAAATATCATGGAAAGAAGAATATCTCACAATTACCAGAAGAGTGGAGCACTAAATGTATATATTGTCTTGAGTGGTGTATTATTCTTATTATTGTTAAATTAACTGAATAAAATCTGGACTTTTAATGTCCATGGAAGAGTTCGGCCTTTCACCGGATGACTTCCTCAAAAACAGGACAATCCTGGAAAAACCAGGACACGTGGCAAACCTATGCAATTGTGTATTCGCAATTTGTGAGTGGCCATTTCCTCTGTCCTTTGCACAAAAGTGACACGGTGACACCAGCAAGTCAATAATAAGGATAATCTAGAAAACGATCCTGGCTATGGGATGTACTCATTTTTATGAATGGAAAATCTTGCCTTCCCACCACAGTGCCTGGAGAAAACGTGCGCATAAGATGGGATAACATTCACATGTTCACACTGATGGCTTCACGACTCACTTTAGGTGCT